ATGTTATCGATCCTAGTGGATTTGTGGGCAATCTTAAATGCGTTACAATTACCTTGGGCTAAAGGAACAGGTAGAGTAGTGGTTGAATTTGATTCGTTGACAAGTCTAGAATTGATATAGAGGAGTCCGAGGAAAAGTTCACAGTCCAACTTGATTTCTTAAACCAGAAATTGGTTAAACAAGCCATGAGAATGTAATCTGCAACTTTAATAGAGAGAAGGCAACGCATGTGCAGATCATTTGGCTAAACTGAGTCTGAAAATTTGCTACAAGAAGAGTATGTCTATTATGACAAGTTGTGGAGTTTATTAGAGTCTAATGTAATTGGCATTACTATACCAAGATCAGTTCATCTGTAATGGGCACCAGTTAAGAGGGGGTTTTAAGTATTAATTTTTTGAAAATTGTCATTAATTTAGAAAAATGTCTAAGTGTAGAGGTACACTAATTGTAATTGTGGGTTTTTACATAATAAGTTAGATCTAAATTAGGTATGCTGATTGGTGCCCATTGGGACCTATTAGAAAAATCCTTCTTAAAAACACCACTAAAAATAATTGAAAGTCACCTAAAATTTGAGAAGAAATTACTTGATTAAAGGAGAATTGCAAACAATATTGAGAATAACCCTCCTCAGATTGAATAAAAAGCAAAGAAAAGGAAGGACCAGGGATGTTAGAGACAAAAGACAAAAAAAAAATGCATAAGAATTGTAGAATATAATCCAAAAGTACTTCAGTTTTTTCTTTGAAAAAGCAATCTCCTAGAGTAGTAAAATTTACGGTTAAAAGCATTAAACCCTCTCAACTTTACCCTTAGTTGCACTTTGCCCCTGTCAACTCAGTAAATAGGTACTTTGCCCCCTATTTTATGTTTTAGGACAAAAGTATCCCTTCCATATTAATTATTATTTTATTTCTTTTTGCTTTTTTTTGCCCGTTTCTACTAGTCCTTTTTTTTTATATAATTTTTAATTTTCCTCCATTCTCTCATGTGATCAATTACTTTCTTCTTTTTTGCTATTATTATTGATATTTTAATTTTAATATTTTTAAATTTATTCTTTATTTGTTTCTATGTTTTTTACTTTTTATTATTGGAAGTAATAATTATCATAAAATCGATGCTATAACAAAGTATATCATCTATATGCATAGACTATTTCATAGATTATTTAAATTGACATGTCTGCAGTTTAGAACAAATTAAGTTTTAATAACAACAATAACAAATTCAAATTATAATAAAATAGTTTGTCAGTAAACTAGACATAAAAAAGTAATAAAAATATTGGTTACTTTTTTTGTGATATACTTTTAAATATTAAGTAATTTAAAGTTCTAGTTTGCTAATATAATTTTAAATAGTCAAATTGCCAGTAATTACACTTTTGATTGTGATAGGCATATATTAGTTTTTTATCCTATACATTTTGTCTTGAATTTTTTAATAGTGTAAATATATAATACAATAATGGAATTATAAGTAAAAAAAAACAATATTATAATAAGCACATAAATTGCTAATACTAATAGAAAAGTAAAACAAAATAGTAACATAAGAGAAGTGAAGAAAAGAAAATAGTAAAAGAAGAAAAATACAATAAATAAAATAAAGTAGTGGAAAAAATAAGAAAATGAATAAACAAAAACGAAACAAAATAAAAGACTAAGGGTACTTCTTTTAACTTCTTTGACCCTCAAAACATCCCTTTTTTGAGTCTCCCTTGAAAAATAAAAAATGGCAACATGAGAAAAACTGCGGTTTGTTGCTGTTTGTTACCCCATACCATCCCATTGAAAATAGTTCGACAGCCCAAACGCTTTAGAAGATTGTGCAGTCTGATGCTCTTGAAATACCTGTAAAAATAAATGTAATTTAAATGATGTAGAAATCAAGTAGTAAACATATTGAGAGGGAGGACACATACTGAATGACTAAATGATTGGATTTAACCATTTTTTTTTTGTTGGAATTGCCTACAAAATTACAACAAACAGTGTGAGAACCCGAAATTTTTCTTAATTTCTAGGCATTATTTTATTTCTTTGCACGCATTTTCTATATTTTCTTTTACTATATAAATTCTATAGATATTTTTATCAGTAAATATAGTTTTTAAATTATTTTCCTAGTATAAGTTAGTTCATGTGACAATAATAGGGTATTTTGAACATGGGACCCGTTAGTACGTTAAGCGCGATAAAATTTTGATGACTAGGTAAAGTTTTGTCCCGAGAGATATTATTTTACTAGGTGTTAGGAGGTGATTAGAGGTAAGCTAGATAATTAATCTTGGAGAGATAAGAGGATATGTATAAAAATTAAAGGTGCCACGTGTCGCATTTTCATTTGAAGGTGGACTTTTGACCATGACCTTTTACCTTCTTAAAGGTAATTTTGACCCAAAAATCATCTTCATTTCCACTCCTTTGGCCGAGCTTCTTGAGAGGAAAGAAGAGAGAAAACCTTCAATTTTTGCCTTCCATTCCTTGCTAAATCTTGTGTTCCAACCATCCAAACCTCAAATTCCTCCATAAAAATCCCTTGCTAGGAGGAATCCAAGAAGGTGGTGGAGTGGTTTTTGAAAAGGAAGCCCTAAGTTACTAGCTTTCTTGAGTTTTGAGGTAAGTTGGTTAAGAAAGTTCTCTCTTTGCTTTAATAATGGTTAATTAGTTGGTTGTAGTGGCTAAATAGGTTATTTTGTGGAAGATTTTATAGTTTAAAGTAGAGTTTGATAAATTTTAGAATTTTTGGTGATTTTTCTGATTTTATATGATGATTATTGTTGGGACATGGAATGGTAGTTTGATATGGTGTAAAATGAAGCTCTTGTATGTTACACTACAACAAAAATGACCTTTCCTGACATGCCTATAAGGACACTTGCTGGTTTGTATCATTATAGCACTCCTATCATGACACTTATTAGCAATTCAATAATATATACTCTAATTTTTTTTTATTTTATCAGATATAAAAATAATAATGTGCTTTTAGACTACCTAACATAACACTGGAGAAAATGTGAGATGTACCAAAAAAAAAAGAAAGACACAAAACGGCATCGTTTGATTTTGGCGGAAGATTCATTTGCTCTAAAACACTCAAAATTTTCATTCTACCGGCCAAAACACTTGGTCAAAACACTTACCCAAAATTTTCATTTTCCCGCTCCACCATTTCCAACCCCCCCTCCCCCTCTCTCTGTGGAGGTGTTGGGCGTACTGCTCAGGCCAAGAATAGGCATTCAAATGGACAGGGTCGCTGGCCTGTTAAATCGGCTAGCTTCATTTTGGATTTGCTCAAGAATGTTGAAAGCAATGCAGAGGTTTGTCTATGTAGGTGAAAGGCTTGGATGTAGATTCACTTTTCATTTCTCACATTCAAGTGAATCAAGCACATAAACAAAGACGCCGCACATATCGTGCCCATGGACGAATAAACCGTATGTCCGATAGATGACCTTTTTTTAGTTTTCTATTCTATCCATTATGTCTATTAACCTCAATGTATGATCTTTTTGGCTAGCCTACATGTCTTCCGATCCTCCTGCCATATTGAGTTGATTTTATCCGAGAAGGAAGAGTCTGTCAAAAAGGAGGTAATACATACTAGTAGAATGTGACTATTTTGTTATGGATTTGTTGTCCATAACTTGTTCGATAAAATGTCAAGGAGAATGCCAACCTTTGGTGAGGTGCAGATCTAGGTGGCGTTTGGGTCGTCTGTTTATGTTTCTTTGGTTACTTATGAATTTCAACCTTTTTTGCAGAGTGAAATTCTGATAAAATGGTGCACAGACTATTGAGAGACGCTGAAGCAGACGGATGGGAAATGATCCGACTTCCCTATCATATGCGAGTCTTGCCTCGGCGACAGCCCTTATGTTCGAATGGTAATGTTTTTGTTGTTACCCGCCCTCTCAGCTTTATAGCTTTTCTGGGTTAATTAGGGTTTTTTTTTTTCCTTTTCTCCAATTTGGTGTTTTGTGAAGTAAATTGATAGTCTTCGGACGTTTTAGTTTAATTGGCAACGTGAAGTTCAAATCTTGCTTGACAGCGTTTTAACTTTCTTTATGAATTTGATTACTGGATTTATATAAGTATTTGGTAGTATATGCATTGGAAGTTTGGCAATATTCGTTAGCCCAATGTCTGTTATAAATTTGGGATCTGGGGGTGGGCGGTGTGGGAGATGAGGAATTAAACATAACATTTATCTTGGATATGTCAGGTTTCCATTTAGCTGCAAAGTTAGTATCCTGTGAAATTTGTTCTCAGTTACATTTATTCTTGGTATATGCTACGGGCTAATTATGAATCGAATGCTCGGCTTATAATTAGTCATAGCATAGCTGTATGTCATATAAACATCAAACAAACTATGGATTGCTAGTTTACATTTTTTATTGTGAAGGGAAAATTGACTCTAGATGGGTAGCGGAAATACGTTGTAGTTAGAATTTTGCAAGTGTGCAAGAAAGAAGGTGATTAACTCTAGTAAGCTAGTAAAAACAGAGACTTTGGCTGGGATAAAGGTGGGTGCTAGATGAGTAGATGTTCGAAATATATACTGTGACTCACAACCTCGAAACAAGATTTTTTATTGACCTCTTTGAGTGATGTTATGGGCTGCGGCTGGCTTAATTTCGTCCATCTCTTCACCACTCCCCTCTTTTTTCTCTGTATGTATCTTTCCTTTAGCTGCTCTAATGACCTTAATTGTAAAGGTGGTTCACGTAGTTCAGATTCAGCAATCTAATTGATTGTACTATGAAGAATAATTCTATACCGTATTTCTTAAACCTTTTATGCAGCCATCCCAGTTATATAATGATCGTATGTCTGATTTTTAGAACATCTGGACTGACTATTGTCAATGTTGTCAATTTGCATTCTAAATGAGGTGATCTCTTGAAGGGAAGTACTAGATTTTAGGCCACCGGAATGAAGCTTGAAAAAATGTAGAATCATAGTAGGCATCAGGATTCTTTGTTATTTGATTGTTGCCTATGAACATTTTGTGTGCTTCCAGTTAATTGATCTTTAGGAGAGTCATTCTAGATTTATTGTCCCATAACAATCTTTAGCTAATATATTACTGGTTTTCTTTTGGGTTGGCAGACCACACTTTTGGATTACATCAGGAAAAGCAAGGTATGAATCGATTATTTTTATTGATGTTCACATTGAGGTACATTATTTGTAATGCCATTATGATTTGATGACTTTAGAAGAAGTACCTTATTCTGTCTTATGTTATGATACTTGAATAGCTGGGAACTAAATCTTAGACAACCTACTGTAGGTGGCAGCATCTGAAGCAGGTGCAATTACTCAAGGCATGGGGGCATACAAGGTACAAGTACCTTTTGATGGCAAGCCACAGACTTGTGTTTTCCTTGACACCCCTGGACATGAGGTAATTAATGATGTAGCACTGGTTCTAACTTTTAACTGCTTATTCATGCAAGTTTTTTTTTTCTTTTTTTAAAATTTTTATGTCAAATGCTCTTCTTGGAGATTTTGCAGACATATCTTAAAAGGCCTTTGTCAAGATGAATTATCTAACATAACTGTAAAAATGGTTGGATAGGGATTTCGAGCAATGAGAGCTCGTGGAGCCAGAGTAATAGACATTACTGTTATTGTAGTTGCTACTGATGATGGAATTCGATCTCAAACAGAAGAGGCCATTGCTCATGCCAAAGCAGCTGGAGTGCGAATTGTTATTGCTATAAACAAAGTGCGCTTGCATTTATTCTGAGATTTTCCACTGTGTGTTGGCTTGTATATCATTTAGTCTCATTTGCATTCTGCTTTTGATGTATGAAACATGATGACAAATCTCCTCTTGCTAATGGGAGTTGGCATTTTCAGTTCTCATAATCACAGTACTGCTAAAGTTTGATGTTTCTAGATTTTTGCATCATAGCATATTATCTTATATGCATCCTGTTCTTTGGGATAATTTTAAAAGTCCTTTGGGTTTCTGATTGACGGAATGTATAGCAGGGAGCATTACCTGCAGGTTGCTTCTGTCTCAAAAAAAAAAAAAAAACTCCTGACATTTAAAAGTGTCAGCATAGAATTCGATATTCTAATGTTGTACTATACCTATCATGACACTTTCAATTATCAAGAAAAGGGTTTTTTTATTGGCAGATGGGATGTTATAACAGCATAGTTTTTCTGACATGTTGAATAGTACGAGTCTATCCCCACATTGGAAGGGACAACACTCGCCCTAGGTGTGAGGATAGATAAAGTATCAGGTTAGATTATCTATACTGACACTTTTAAATGCCGTTAAAGGCCATTTTTGTTGTAGTGTTAGTTGTGGTTGTTTGCGGAAAATTTCCGCTTGTAGGGCAAAATTTCTGTTTTTGGGTTTCAAAATTAGGGTTTCCTATGGTTGATTATTGAACTCTTGATTGATTGTGATTGAAGGGTATTGTGACCCTAAGAAAATGTATTCACTAACCTATAATGTGTAGTTGCACTTGCGGTTGTTTTGGATGAAGTTGGGTGGTTGTTGGTAGGTTGGAAAAGTATGACATTTAGGGGAAATGCTGTCCAAAGTTTGAGAATATTGAGTTCCTTTGAGTTTGAATTGAAATTGGGTAGAAATGAAATGTTTTGGGGTTGTTTATGCTTTTAGCACCAAATGATCCTTAATTTCCCTTTCTAGTTATTTTTGGGTCTTGCTTTAGTAGTTCCTTGAATAGGTATTCGACTCGTGTTCGGGTCTCAATTGTTATTTCTTACTTGTTTATAGGACGTGCCGGTGATCCGAGGCATACGTCGGACGGAAATCCGTGATTGCTTTATTTGAACTGGTGAGTGTACCATTATATGGTTTAATGCTTAAATGATTGATCTACTTGAATATGTGAACTTGGTTGGCTTGAATGAGACAAGAGTGTACTTCATCACTCTCGTTCTCTCATCTGTATGACTGCTACTGTTTAACTGTGAAACTGTATTTGTGCATGATTTAATGTAGTTTGAAGCATGTGCCCAACGACTTTACTGTGATATTTGAGCTCAAACCTCATAGGTCGTTAATCGAGTTGAGCCGACAAGGGCCTGGTCGGTTAGATAACGAACCATGGATTAACTGTTCATCGAGTAGAGTGTTATCTCCTCGATCTTTTGGTATACTCGAGTATTACCCCCCCACTGTTTCTATGAGGTGTTCGGGCTCGGTAGGGGTATGTATGGTGGAAGGTATTTGGTATAGAGTGGAGTCTACGGTCATGGTTACTTGCAAGCGATGACGGAGGGTCATTGGGTTCGGATCAAGTGGTGAAAATGGGAAATTGGCACTTGAGTGCCACCCGTATCCTTTAAACGTGATGCTCTTTGGTATATGAATGAGATCTATGTGATTTGATAAAGTGAAATTCCGTGATTCCTGACTGAATAACTTGCTGGTACCTCATTGAGCGAAAGCTCACCCCTCGTAAATTTTGTTTTCCTTACAGGATCAACTTTTGGACACCATGATTTTGGAAGTGAGTTGAGCTAGTTGAAATTCTTTTGTTCTTTTGTATAGCTCCTCGAAAGTTGAAAACCCTAAATGTATCGCTCCAATATTCCCTTTTGTTATGTAAACCCATTAACATGTATATATAAAAGTGCTTTCTCATGTGTATATGGTACTTTTACTTGGAAATGTGTACTCTTTATTGTTAGCTAGAATTTACTTGTACTTGGTTGGGTTTCAGACGCGCGCGAAATTTGAACAAAAAAGAAGAAAATTTCCGGCCGGATAGGCGAGGGAATTGGAAAAATTTTTGAGTTGGCCACTGCCTCCAATCCGGCCACGAATCCGCCCGGATATTCGGTCAGAATCCGGCCGAATTGTGACGTGGCAGTTACTATTCATCTTTCGTTTTCGTTTTCGTTTTCCGTTTCATGGTTGTTGAATCGTTTAAGCGCGCTAATATCTTTCGGAACATTTTAGTTTGTGTATAACCATCTTAGTAGTCCTGGCGAGAGCTAGGCAGACAGTTCGCTAACCCCTTTGGTACGCTTTAGGGGAAGGTAGGGCTGTCACAAATAGTTAGATATAAAAATCTAAGAAGTCATAAAGAAAATAGGATTAAACGTGTACACTAATCCTTTGGATGCATGTATCACAATTTGAATTTGAATTCATTTTTGCACGTATGGCATGCATTCGCGGATGTTAATGCATACAAGATTACCAAAATAATAATAACAATAAACTACTCCTAAGCTACGTTTATCAGCTCTCATGCTAGCAAAAGCCGTTAGCCTAGGATTGTATCTTTAAGAGATGAATTGTTGCGTTTGTGGTTTTGGTGTAACTTCCATTGCTACTTGGCTTTATCTCTACTAGGTTTTATCTTATGGAGATCTCAATATTAGGCTGACTATTCATGGTGAAGTCCTCTTGTTTATTTGATTAACCACTGATCTCCACCACAGAATATTTTGTAGACATATTCCTGTTAGTTTCTAGGAGATTTGTAGACAATTGAAAGCTTTTATTTAGCCTCTCGCCCCAAGATTTTTGACAAAATTCTGTTTTCCTCCTCTGCAATGTTTTTTACCTTGCAATTTAGTTAATTGATTTATAATGTTCAACTAAAATTATTAAATGATTTAGCATTACATATTGAATTTTTGAAAATTAATGTACTACGTCAAAAAAAGTTATCTAAAGTTAAATTGTAGATGCTTTTCAATTAATTTTTACATTTCAATTAATTTTTTCTTTGTCAAATTTCATTTTTTATTTCTTGGTTCTACATACATATGATCCTTTAAATGTACAATCTAAACTAATAAAATTTTATACTTCTAAAAACTCCCTTTGTAAAAATATAAAATCAAGATTTGGATCCAATTACCAATGCTATTTGCGTACTCCAAGTTGTAAAAAAATTGTGATTGTTTTTAAGAGTTTGATAATATGGAATAGTGAATTTATACCTTTTTCCCTAAGGATTGTAAGTGAATTAATGTGTAGAATATATATCTTACTTATTATGTTTCATATACTTAAATTCTCAGAGCCAATGGGAGACCCGGGGCTGCCACGCCCAAGTTTCAACATATTCCTACTAACTCCTAAGAAATAGAGAAGATTTTCATTAAAATCCTTTAATTAGCTCCTAAAATTTTGATAAAATTTTATTGCCGCTCTCTACAGTATTTTTGACATTGCTCTCTAGTTAATTGACTAATAAAATCTAATTTGTTATTTATTGCTTTAGCATTTCATATTGGCTTTTTAAAAATTAATCTTTTATGTCATAAGAAATTTATTTAACGTTAAATTCTACATACCTTTCAATTAATTTTTGCATTTTAATACAATTTTGTTCTGTCAAATTTCATATTTACATACTGAGTTCTATATACATATGATTTTTTAAATGTAAAATTTAAGCTAAAAAGTAACATACTTTTAAAAGATCTCTTTGTAAATATGTAAAATGAAGATTTAGATCCAATTAGTAATGTTATCTGTGTATTTCCAATACAAAATGTGATTGTTTTTAAGAGTTTGATACTATGGGATAGTGAAGATTATACTTTTCCCCTTAAGGATTGTAAGTGAAATAATGCATAGAATGTCCAAGTTACTTATTATGTTTCATACACTTAAATACAGCTTTGTTTGAATAGCCAATGAATTTTGGGAAAAAAATTGTTGCACCATGAAAACTCTTTCCAATCATTTTTTACTTTTACAATCACTTTTTTCATTTCACATACATCACATCCCAACTATGGTATAATGTTATTCAAAAAAATTTTTCCAAATGATCTTCAATCCAAATGGACCCATTGTTTTGTTAAAATAATCTAGTAACAGAAAATAGAAATTTATTTAGAACCTATTTTACTTTGAGGTGCAATTAGATATCAAGCTGAAAAAAAAACCATGACTTTCAAATTGCACTAGTAAACTGATAGTTTTTCTTCACATATAAATTCATTTCCCTAACTAAAAATCTTAACACCATCACTGAAAAGATTAATCTTACATATTAATCTATCACCAAAGATAATAGTATTGTTTGAGGTTTTAACATAAGTTTTGGATTGAAGTGCGCAAAACTTTGGTGTTCGTGATCCAAAAATAAAAGGTGGACCTTAGACAAGGTGTTCGTGGAAATTGGACCAGTTATTAGATCGGCTACTAGGCAGTTGCTTAGCCCTTAGAAAGTACTGAAGATTTTCATTGAAAACCTCTATTTTACGCACCCTCAACCCTCCACACACAAAGATTTTGACAAAATTTTGTTGCCTCTCTCTATAGTACTTTTTTACCTTGCCATTTAGTTAATTGATTTAAAAAAATTTTAACTTCGTATTAATTACTCTAGCATTTCATATTGACATTTTAAAAATTAATCTATGATGCCAAAAAAATTTATTTTAAGTTAAATTCTACACCTTTCAATTAATTTTTTCATTGCAATTCATTTTTGCTTTGTCAAATTTCATATTTACGTACTTGGTTCTGCATACATATGATCTTTTAAATATAAAATTTATGCCAAAAAGATTGTATACTTTTAAAAGTTCTCTTTGTAAA